TGACATTTGCCTGGACGCCGGCCATGTTAGCGCTGCCCTTTGACCCGTGTCCTACTAATTTGAAATGATACTTTTTGCACGCTCTGTAGCAGGACATACTCAAACCCTTGTGAAAGAGAAGTGTGCTTAATTGTACTGGATGTGTACTTCAAATCTTAAAAGCATATTTTTTTAAAACTGCACTTGCAGATAATATAACATTAACAAAATAAAAGGCCACTTTTATCATTACATTTCTTGACACACTTAAGTACACTTTTAATAAGTGCATTTTGTAATAAAGTATACATTAATTAATTGCTTTAACAATCTTTTGACATGCTCAAAAGACGCATGCTTGTTTTGATATGCTGACTAACACAAAGCACAAATAAAATACTTGATTTAATTTTAACTGTAGTTAAACTGGTTGGAAACGTTAACCATATTTCAAAGACAATAGATGTAATTATGAAATTACATTTAAAGATGCATTTAAGTCCTACTTAAGTGGGTCAAAAAGCAATCTTATGTTCAACTAACTGCATTAAACCATAATAAATGCTAATTTAATTGCAATTCCTTTATTACATTCAAAGTACATTATTTTAAAGTATACTAGTAACACTTCAATAAGGTCTCATTAGTTAATTAACACTAGTTAATACATTAGTTAACATGAACTAACTATGAGCAATATACATTATACAGCATTAATTAACCTTTGCTAATGTTATATAGGTAATAAAAAAAACGTATTCATTGTTCATTTTAGTTCACACTGCATTAATGTTAACATACAGTAGGCTACGTTTGATTTTAAAAATGAATTACTAAGAAATTAAGATAACTAAGATTAATGAATGCTGTAGGCTATAAGTTTCAGGTTAACTAATGTAGTTAACTAATGTTAGCAAATGAAACCTTCTTGTAAAGTGCTACCAGTGACTTCAGTCTACAAGCACTCTCAAAAACTCCCATTATAATCAATGAAGCTGTTTACATTGTGAAACGAATCTCTTACTTACATCTGCACTTTTCTGATGAGAGAATTCGCCAGAGAGCAGAATTCAGGGAGAGCGACCAATGAACAAAACACCAGCATTTCAGCGATGACTCATCTGGACGCCTCTGATTGGCCACTGCATTCATCAACCCAACAGAATCGTGTGTGATGTGATCGCGCTGTAAAAACACGTTTCGCCAACCAAAGCGGGAACGTAGATTTGAATTTAGATTCTAATGATGTGCCGCATTGAACGTTCTAATCACACCAGTGTGATCGTATTAAATACATATGTAAACGGTATTATTCGGGTATTTTTGTCTTTTAGAAACTGCATTCAAAATCCACTTGGCTCGAAAATCTGAGGGGGCACTTGCCCTCTGGTAATAAGTGCTCTTTTTTTGTATGCTAAAAGTGTACTTCATTTTCACAAGGAAACCCAAGGACCGTGTGTGCTTGGCGTACATTTGAAGCGTGCAACGTCTTAACACGGTCTAAATCACATTAAAAGATTATATTACTCAGGTACACACTTGGTACTTTCTAACCTTGAGCTTAAGAAACTGAAAGATGTTAAATAACTGTGTAGCTGCTGAAAGGCCTGGAGACATTATGAAATCAAATCACACATTGTAAATTCTTGCAAAAAAAAAAATAAGTGACCTTACCTTGGTAACCAGATGGTAAAACTAAGTAAAACCAAAGACCTGAATGATTGCCATATTCATATACTATGTTAATAATGGAATATTGTTAATTATGTTTAACAATAATTTAAAAATTTTATTTTTAAAAAATTGTGTTACGTGTTTAAAACGGCATTTTGATGAGTTTGCAAACGATATTAAAATGAACAGCTAAAATATGATCACAATAAAAAAAAAATTACGGAGGTGTGGGATTCTGTCCTCTAAGTGTGTGAGTAGGTAGCTGAGCAGACAAACACACACACACACACAGAAGAGCCTCCGAGAGCATCTGGCTCTCTTATGTAAGCGCTGCAGCTCTGTTTATGTCGATCTCTCTCTCTGTTCCCATCAAGCACGTGTTGCTCTGGGCCTGCGGGAACAGTGCAGCGCTGCCACCTGCTGGACAAACGCAGTATGGTGTTTTAGCTATATTATACAGATCAGCGACGTAAACAGTACGAAATATGCAGTGTTGGGGGTAACGCATTACAAGTAACGCGAGTTACGTAATCAGATTACTTTTTCAAGTAACTAGTAAAGTAACGCATTACTTTTTAATTTACAAGAGAATATCGGAGTTACTTTTTCAAATAAGAAAATGTCTATTGTTCAATTTTATAAATGATTAATTTATAAATGTTTTAACTAGGCCGACATTTAAAACATGAATTAAATAAACAGTTAGAAATTTTTCCGTTCATTTGCCCATTTAAAAACAAATTTATTTCCATTTTGTTTTCTATTTTTTATGGTATGACTCCTAGTCCTCCATATGAATATATACTGACAATATATTCTATATTGTCAGTATATTGAATACTGACAATACAGAAAAGTCTATGAAATAATTACCAATATTAATATAATTATTACCAAAAATAGATTTTAAACATTTAATTTACTTTATATATTTACTTATTTATTTTAATTACAAATGAGAAAACCTGGATTATCTAGTTTAGTTGAAAATTAACTAATTTTCAACTTCAAAAATTGAGTTTAATATTTCCCCGAACATATTGAGACATTTAATTTGGGACATGAAATTAAAGTAATGCGTAACAGGAAAGACTACAGAAATGGTTTGAATGGATCATTAAAAAGACAAACCTTTTTGTGAATGAGACATCACAACGTGAACATGTGAACGCAGAGAATAAAATCAATACAGAAGGTGCATTCCCCATGAAATTGTGTTTAATAGAGTTTAAAAATAAGGCTATGATGCAGTTTTAGCAAACTTTTGACAAGAAAAACACAGTAATGACAAGCTGTGGCACACACACAGCCAGTCCAGTAAGATTTAAGGGAAATAGCGACAACACACACACTCACATCCAAACGCGGTAATATTTCTTAATCGTCTCCACACACACTCGCACATATACACACAACCACCCAAAAAGGTGGCGATAAACAAAGTTGAACGAACAAACTGCAGTGTACTTTAAAAAAAAACATGCATAGCTTAATACAATAAACGTGTATTTCCGAATGACCCACGGAGGTTATGCGGTCTAATACGGTCAACATTATTAGTCAGTTCCTTCAACATGAAAACATCGCTTCTTAAAGGTGTCTGATGTAAAACAAAACAATATCGTCCTTGTTCACAAACATGTAAAAAGTTACATTCTGATCCGCAACGTTCCTTGTGAAAATAAATACTTGGAATGGCAACGACAATGATATAAAGATTCCCTTTATGTGTCAGAATTGAAAAAAAACAGACCGAATGCGCCCAAACCCGACCCATTTGCACATAAAAAGTCAAATATCATGTTGCATTGGTTTCAACAGACATCTACAATAAAAGTGTCGTACGGACCAGATACAAAAAGAGCGCAAATCTCTGATTAGAATTAGAAAACTCAACACACTCGAACCCAAACCTGGGACATACAGTACAGACAAAACCGACATTAATTATCTGAGATGCTTAGTGCTGAAGCAAACAAAACGAAATCTGACACAATACAAATCATTTATTATACAATCCCTGTCAATTTTTTTTAACTAACATTATTTTGTCCGTTTCTGTCCATTCAAGAGAATCACAGAACAGCGGAAAGCCTTGGCAATGCAAAATATTCGACAACTAGGCTGTTTAGTGTTTGTTATTTGTTCTACGTTTCATCCTTTGGTAAAAGGGCGGATCTTCTCAACTGCTATAAACACTACCGCATGTTGTTCTTTCCAGAAATGAGGTATGTCTACTGTACGTTCGGTACTGTCTTTAAAGTGCCAGCAAGCTCTAGCGTGAGGGAAGCCTGAATTACTAGAGCTCCGGGGCTCCGCATAGGAATGATACAGGCAGGGTTGCCAGGTTTTCACAAGAAAACTCACCCAATCGCTACTCAAAACTAGACCTATCGCGTTTCGAGGGGGTCCCCAGTTAATAATCGCATTCAGGGGATAAATATCATGTTATTGGAGTCGCTTAAACCCGCGGACATGAAAAACAACCCGCGGAAACAGTGTCAAAGTAGCCCAATTCCGCGGGAAAACCGCGGATTTGGCAACACTACAGGACTCATGCAAGCGCCAAATACACGCGTACAGACGCACAACACCATGCCGTAAGGTGCCGAGACACCGCTCACCAGATCTACGCAGTACAGATAGCAAAAATAGCTCTCTGAGTTTCTATATACATGAACTACACGATGCTACCACTGCCATAGTGCACAGAGAAACCTCCGATCAGTTCTGTGAAGAACAAAAACACAAAAATCATCTCAAGCAGCTTACATAAAGAAAAAACATTTCCCTAAAGTAATGTTGTAATGTAAACGGGTAAAGGAGTAGTTCACCCAAAAATGAAAATTTGCTCAAAATGTACTCATCCATGATGTAGATTAGTTTGTTTCTTCATCAGAACAGATTTGGAGACTTTCAGCATTACATCACTCGCTCACCAATGGATCCTCTGCAGTGAATGGGTGCCGTCAGAATGAGAGTCCAAACAGCTGATAAAAACACAACAATAATGTAATCCACACCACTCCAGTCCATCAGTTAATGTCTTGTGAAGCTGCAACGTCAAACTGTTGCTTCTGACCAAAATACGGGCCCATAATCCATGATAACACTTTGAAGACAACTTTTTCCATTGAAAAAAAAAAAACAATATTTTGGATATTATGGATGGATATTAGGTCTTGTATTTTGACCAGAAGCAATGGTTTAAAGTTTTATCAGCTGTTTGGACTCTCATTCTGACGGCACCCATTCACTGCAGAGGATCCATTGGTGAACAAGTGATGCAATGATAAATTTCACCAAATCTGTTCTGATGAAGAGAAAAACTCATCTACATCTTGGATGGCCTGAAGAGGAGTACATTTTCAGCAAATCTTCATTTATTTCTTTAAAACCTTTAGCACAGGATTTTCATATAATTGCAATATAGTTGTGGACGGCTTCAAGTCAATGTTTTGTTCCTTCATTTCAACACAGATCTATTTTCTGTCAATGCCAGATTCATATATAACAGTAAAATTAAATAAACATCTAAGCACAAATATTAGAACTCATTGTGGTGTAGGTATTAAAAACAACACTATTAATAATAATAATAATACTATCTGCATTAATAAGAAAAGTAGTATGTTGTAAAATAATAAGCCCATGTGGGTTGACCTAGAGTTCTTGGTTGAACCTGCAGCAGTGATTTATCAGTCACTGTCTAAAGCAACCTGCCAGACTATAACATAACTGCGCTCAGGTTTGGCAGGAGCCGACTGCAGCTTCAAAGTGGGTTCAGCTGATTCATCATCTTCATCTCGACCCAAACCACCATCCTCATCACCTGAGAGAGGAAAAAGAGAGGCGCTATTATAACGTCCTGTCAGTAGACTATGTAGTTTCACTTTAAAAACTGGAGAAATAAATTAATGTTTTCAAAAGGTATGTCTGCAATATTATTGGTTAATATTATTTTCCCTCATACATGCAACCTTAAATACATCAGCAGAAAAGTCTATTAAAAGCTTTGATTAAAGATACTGACAACAAGCATTCGTCCCATTAGAATAATCTGCATTCATTTTGCACATGAATCGTGAACGCTGACAAATATTAAGAACAGAAATGGTGTTCATTTTGATGTCTTGTCGTCTGTCTATTTTTTCATCCACTTCTATGAAAACCCATTCAGTTTTAATTTAGTTTTTAGTGATTATTTTCCACCATATTTCTGAATATGGATATTTAAACACTGAACATTACCTATGTAAATCTCTACATTGGATTCAAATGCAAACCTACAGATGTTAAAAAAAAATCTAGTTTCATACACAATGTAAATTAACTGCCCTATATTCCATTAACAGCCTTTTTTACTTTCAGACAAGTTCACAATGACACACCACCGTTCAAAAGTTTTCAAAATATTTTTTCAAAGAAAATAAATTAATACTAGTATTTAGCAAAGATTGTTCAAAAATGACAGTAAAGACATTTATAATGTTACAAAAGATTTCTATTTCAAATAAATGCTGTTTTTTAAGCTTTCTATTCAACAAATAATCCTGAGAAAAAAAACGAAAAAAAAAACCATGCATTCAACAAAAACATCAAGGAACACAACTGTTTTCAACAATAATAAGAATAAATGTTTAGGGCTGCAAAACGATTAATTGCATTCAAAATAAAAGTTTATGTTTACATACTATGTGTGTGTACTGCGTATATTTATTATGTATATATACACACAGGTGCATCTCAATAAATTAGAATGTCGTGGAAAAGTTAATTTATTTCAGTAATTCAACTCAAATTGTGAAACTCGTGTATTAAATAAGTTCAATGCACACAGACTGAAGTAGTTTAAGTCTTTGGTTCTTTCTTTTGTGATGATTTTGGCTCACATTTAACAAAAACCCACCAACTCACTATCTCAACAAATTAGAATACTCCATAAGACCAATAAAAAAAAACATTTTTAATGAATTGTTGGCCTTCTGGAAAGTATGTTAATTTACTGTACATGTACTCAATACTTAGTAGGGGCTCCTTTTGCTTTAATTACTGCCCCAATTCGGCGTGGCATGGAGGTGATCAGTTTGTGGCACTACTGAGGTGGTATGGAAGCCCAGGTTTCTTTGACAGTGGCCTTCAGCTCATCTGCATTTTTTGGTCTCTTGTTCCTCATTTTCCTCTTGACAATACCCCATAGATTCTCTATGGGGTTCAGGTCTGGTGAGTTTGCTGGCCAGTAAAGCACACCAACACCATGGTCATTTAACCAACTTTTGGTGCTTTTGGCAGTGTGAGCAGGTGCCAAATCCTGCTGGAAAATGAAATCAGCATCTTCAAAAAGCTGGTCAGCAGAAGGAAGCATGAAGTGCTCCAAAATTTATTGGTAAACGGGTGCAGTGACGTTGGTTTTCTGTATGTGTGTGTATTTATATATACACATAATAAATATACACGGTACACACACATAGTATGTAAACAAACTTTTATTTTGAATGCGATTAATCGTTTTGCAGCCCTAGAAATGTTTCTTAAGCAGCAAATCAGTATATTTTTATGATTTCTGAAGGATCATGTGATGCTGAAGACTGGAGTAATGACGCTGAAAATCCAGCTTTGCATCACAGGAATAAATTACATTTCAGCATATATTAAAATAGAAAATAGTTATTTTAAATTGTAATAATATTTCACAATATTCATTTTTACTGTCATTTTGAATATGAATGTGACAGGAGCCCTTTATGAATGAACTGCAGAATGTGCACAATTACATGTTTACATTATGAAACATGCAGAAATGCCATCTGCTGGAGACATGTCTTACTGAAGCTCTTACCGATCCTAAAGTCGATGTATCCCTCTCCTCCGCTCATGATGAGCATACTCTTGCCGTCTGGGGCTGAAGAGTCGGAGTTCTCAGTCGTACCTTCAGCTCCGGGCACAATAACCTGACCTGAAGCACATCGTTTACACGTTAGCACAGATTTGCACTCCACCAGCCATTATATCAAACACCACCGCTTTAAAACAATATGCTCAACACATTCTGTAGGAGCCAGTGTATGAGTAACCACACAGTTGCTGGTCCCCATTGACCTCTAAAGTATCAGGTTTGGACAACTTACAAAATCATGCTCTAAACCAGACCTTTCGTGAAGCTGACTTCATCAATCATGAGGCCTCCCCATCAGTCTCTATAATCAATACTGAGGCATTGTGTTACTATGTCTTACCTGGAACAGTAGCGAAGAATTTAACGGCGTCTCTGTGGCCGTGGAAGCAGAGCTGAGCGTGTGCCATGGAGCTGTAGGGTACATACGAACCCGTCACTGCACCATCCACAGTGTCATCGCCGTACACTCGCACCGCCCCACCTGGACGACAGGCGATCGCTCCTACAGTCTTATGAGCTGCTGGGGAAACAAAAAGATGCTTAACCATAAGTGTGAGTGTCTAAAGCGTTTAATAGAGCACCAAAGACACAGTATCTCGCAGAGCAAATGCCTGTCAAATTCAATTGCGAAATTACTGGGAGACACTCATTAATATTAAAGCATTAAAGCAAATTTTGGCTAGATGCAGATTCACTGTTGATCAGCCCAGAAAGATGGAAAAACAGTCAAGAGAGTGGAAGATCTGAGAGGAATTAAGAACTTGTAGATGAAATATTGAACAAAGCTGAGCAAGATGCAGCAAAGAAGCAAAGCAAGACAGGTTTGTCTCAGAATTAGCCTGCTGTCAACAGTGTTTCCCACTCACCCCTCTGACCTAGATATCCACACTGACCTACAGCTACAGGAGACAAGAAAGACAAGAAAAAGGAAAACAGGAGGGGAAAAACAGAGAGAAGTGGCCAAAGAGACTGAAACTAATGCTGCCTTCTACATCAAATACTGATGTACGCGTGTTTGCGTGTGTGATATTGGCTTACAGTCTGATAAAGGGATGGAGATGATGACACCATTTCCTGTTCCCACCCACAGCCGGTTACAGGAAACCATCAGAGCCGTGATCCTCACAAAAGAGAAGCCCAGTTTTCCCGTTCCTGTTAAAGACACGAGCAAGTGCATTCAATTGTTTATTTATTCAAAAGCGTAATATAAAAGAGCTCAAATCTTATTTCTTGTATTTTGCCAACATACACCAACATTCAAAGGTTTGGGCTCAGTAACACTTTTTTTTTTTTTTTTTTTAAGAAATTAATACTTTGATTTAGCGAGGATACATTAATTTGATAAAAAGTGACAGCAAAGGCATTTATAATGTAACAAAAGATTTATATTTCAAACAAATGCTGTTCTTTTAACTTTCTATTCATCAAAGATTCCTGAAAGGTTTCCAAAAAAAAAAAAATCAGTTTTCAAAATTGGTAATAATAATAATAGATGTTTCCTGAGCAGCAAATCAGCATATTAGAATGATTTCTGAAGGATCATGTGACACTGAAGACTGGAGTAATGATGCTGAAAATTCAGCTTTGCCATCACAGGAATACATTACATTTTAACATATATTAAAATAGAAATAGACAGTTATGTTCAAATTGTAATAATGTTTCACAATATTTATGTTTTTTTATCATATAAATGCAGACAAAAATATATTTTAAAATCTTACTGACCCCAAAATCTTGTACAGAAGGAAGTATGTGACATAAGGGTGAACAAATGATGACATTTTTTTTGTAAACTAACCATCTAAATTGCACAACTTCCCTCTCAGAGCTGTGCAATTATAGAGAATTTACTCTTCTGGATAATATAATATAATAATATCATATCATATATCATATGAGAGGTTGTCCCCATGAACCTAAAACCATATATTCACAGTATTCTCACCTAACATTTTGCTGACATAAGGTTCAATGTCCACGTCCTGGAGATGCTGGAAGGTGTGAGCGTGGAAGAGGCGGAGGGTGGAGTCTAGCCGGATGGACACCCAGATACCGTCACCCACCCAGGCCAGCTGACGCACCTGACTCTCCTTACGCGGGTGGGCGTCAAAAGACTTCTGTTTCACACAGAGAAAAATCACAACACACTGTAAAGGATCCCGCTTAAGCAATTCCATCAAATTCTATCTAATACGGCATGCAACACATTTCTCAAAATGCAAAAACTAATACAGTGAAGACTAAGACATAATTATGAACCTCTATTTTCATTGCTTTGGGCTGAATCACATAGATCTTGTTTCTGTAGCCGCACCACACTTTATCGTGCACGACGGTCATGCAGCGGATTGAGTGATGCGGCCGGCCGAGGTCCAAGAGGTGGTAGTTGGTTAAATCCCACTGGCTGTCTGTAAAAGCAGAACGAGGATGGTTTTAACAATTAAAGTCAAACTGAGCGGAGTATCTGAATTATTAGTGAACTGACAGTGTCTTACCAAGACCTCTGTGAAAGATGGCCAGTGTACCGTCAGCCAGAGCCACCAAAACACGGCCTTTCACATGTCTGTGTAGAGAAATAATAGTAAAGATCACTAGAACTCATGTTTGCTGCAGTGGTTTCTTTTGATTTCAACGAAATATTGAATGAAAGTGCTACTGAATAAAAGCATAGCTACTTTAACAAGTTACTTTATCATATGGCCGCATAAACTGAAATATTTCAAAAGTTACACTGTATTCTTGAGTTTCAACTTACACAATGTTCAAGATGGAATCCTTCAGCTTGACAGCATGAAGACACTTCCTCCATCGAGCGACAGATGAGTGCACATATAAACTACATGAAAGACATTTGCCAATGAGAAAAGTTAAACTCTCAGATTGCAAAACACTGATTTTGGCAGTTTGTATAGAAGACCTTTCCGTTTTTCTTTGTGTATTTGACAATAATCAAAAAGATCTGGAGATGAAGTTCACGTAGAGTTCCTTCATATAGTGAGACGACAGATGCTGAAAACACCATGAGCGTCACGCATGCTCGAGGATGTGTAGTAAATGAAACCAGCTGCTCATTCTCACAGAGACACACAGAACAGGCAGACTGCATATTTAAAATGAAGTCACAGATGCAAGTTCATATTGCAATTAAAATTGTATTAACTGTGCGGCTCTACTTTTAATTAGTCAGATTCTGTGACATTCTGAGTTGTACAGTATCATTCCGTCAGCGTTTTCTGCATCATGGAAATCAAAGGGCCCTGTTTGACTTACCACAAATTTCAAGTTGACAAAAATACTCCAGGAAACAGGTTGTCAAACTGAGATCGAAAGACAGTATGGCAAATAGAAAAAAAACATACTACTATCCCTGACAGACCTATTTCCTTTCATAAATTATGGTGTTTAACAAAGTCTGTTGTGGCCAGATGCAGTTATATTTGTGTATTTGTGTGTGTGTATCTCACCAGCCGTTCTGAGCCCCCAGCCACATGGTGGGCAGCACGCTGCTCATCCGCTGGATCTCTTCTTTCGCCAGATTCGTCTTTCCACCTGCTGAGGCCGTATCGTCCCTGTCCTGATTGGACTCCCTGACAAGGAACCCAACACCAAGGATGAGTTCCCATCCACATCTGGATATAAATCAGCAGTGATAAAGATACTGTGCCCGGCTCACCTCTGGTTATCGTTGCCTGTTGAAGGCCCAGAAGACTCTGTTCCCAGTGGGTCTGTAAACACGTGCTCCGTGTAGATTCCTGGCTGGCTGGTGTCCTGTCCCGGGCTCTCCTGCTCTTCCTCAGTGGCCTCCATAGCTTCCTCTGCTGCAGGGAGCCCATCTTCACTGGGAGCTCTGGAGAGATCTACAACAAGAGAGACTTCTGTCACGTTTACTTTTAACCCTATAGAGCCTGCTGTATCATATTTAATAATTAAAAAATTCCGCTTTAAATTCTCGAGGTCGTCAAAGCAGGATTGATTCTGATTGGCTGTCAATGTTTTTATCGTTCATCAGCTGGAAAAAATCGTTCTGAAAATGATTCCAACGATATCGTTTCTCTGTGCCTTTAACGTTATAGTTGTGGTGTGGACTCTGCTATTCTTTAATATTGAGAACGATTTTTAGAACTATATCTTTATCGTTATAGTTATCGTCCTTGGTGTGAACGGGGCTTTATCCTGAATAAAACAACTTAATAGCCAGTGTTCTCGATAAATGTAAGTTTTTAATACTGTTTCATGTCACTGGAAAACTTTTGGGGATCGTCTTTAGTGAGAATGCCGGCAAAAAGCATGAAAAAAGCTACAGAGAAGAAAGATGGCGCGGCTCTCCAGGAGGCTGAAAAGAGCGATGAAGCTGGATTAGCGGTGCAAGTTAGCACTGATTTTAAAAAAAAAAGTGAAAGTGACGCGACATGTGGCCAAGTATGGTGACCCATACTAGGAATTAGTGCTCTGCATTTATCCCATCCTTAGTGCACACACACAGCAGTGAACACACACACACTGTGAACACACACCCGGAGCAGTGGGCAGCCATTTTTTGCTGCGGCGCCCGGGGAGCAGTTGGGGGTTCGGTGCCTTGCTCAAGGGCACCTCAGTCGTGGTATTGAAGGTGGGAGAGAGCGCTGCACATTCACTCCCCCCACCTACAATCCCTGCCGGTACGAGATTCGAACCCGCAACCTTTGGGTTACGAGTCCGACTCTCTAACCATTAGGCCACGACTTCCCATTTAAGCCCTGAAACTAGTAAAGTTGTGGAATCTCTGATGGCTAACATCGCAAGGATGATGGACTCTAAACTAGAGCTGATTCTCGAGAAAATTCAGGATGTTTCAAAAGCAGGAAGTACAGCGTACTAACAACCGAGTGGAAGAAGCGGAGCAAAGAATCCTAGTTCTTGAGAATGTGGCCACTGGGGTGAAGGGTCGAGTTGCGCAGATTGAAAAGGTGCTCGCTTCGCTAACGGAGCGATCGGATGATCAGGAAAACAGAGGACGTCGTCGTAACTTGAGGATCATCGGCCTTCCGGAAAAGACAGAGGGTCTGGCTGCGTTTGGAAAAATGGATTGGGGTCTTCTGACTCCTCTGATGGTTACCCCCTTCTATCTTGGTTTTGGGTTACTCATCATTTTTTTGTTTTTGTTTCTTTGGTATGCATGCTTGTATTTGAATGTTTGTAGTTTTGTATATATTTGTGTTCAGATGAAGACCACAGAAGTTTATACTAAGGTTATTTTTTTTTATAAAAAAATAACGACTTTATTCAGCAATTCGTCTCCTCCGCATCACCCTGTAGCGCCATTTTGGAGAGCATCCGCTGGACGTAAACAGCGTATGCTGTTCTGTGTCAGCTGCGTCACGCCGGATCTGTTTCCTACGTTATTGTGATTTGATCTGAACGAAAACAACGTACCCGTGTGACGCAGCTGACACAGAACAGCATACGCCGTTTACGAGATGTCCTTGCTACGTCTCTGGACTTGGGAACATTTCAGTTGCATTGCCGTCTATACAGGGTCAGACAGCTCTCAGATTCCATCAAAAATATATTAATTTGTGTTCTGAAGATGAACAAAGGTCTTATGGGTTTGAAACGACATGAGGATGAGTAATTAATGACAGAATTTTCATTTTTGGTTGAACTAACCCTTTAAGTATTATAAAAGTTGACCAAACTGGGTTCATTCATGGACGCTACTCAAGTGACAATAATTCAGTTATCGCAATATTAAAATCTTAATAGTATGATTTTTTTCTTTAGATGCTGAAAAAGCATTTGATCGGGTTGAGTGGGAGTTTTGTTTTATACACAATTTTTTTGAGGTGGGGGATACTTTTATTCAATGGGTTAAGATTATGTATGATAGTCCAGTAGCAGCAGTTATTACAAACGGTAGGCGTTCTGAGAGTTTTAACTTAGGAAGGGGCACTAGGCAAAAAATCATAAGGCTATTGTAAGAATAAATGAAACTAGTTTTTATGCTTTTAAATAATTAGACATGCTAAAACAGAATTTGGTAACAATAAAACGTAAGGTTGGGCCCTAAACATGTACTTTTTGTTAAACTTTTAATAAATTGAAGTTAAATTGTTTAAGTTTCATTATTGTAATTAATTAGACATGCTTTTTGATTAATAAAATTGAATTTAACCATTAAAAAGGAGTCCAGAAAAAAAAACGGTCGTAATGCTGCTCGTAAGAGTATTTAATTAAATGGATCTCTGATAAACCGCCGACAGTGTCGGAGTGGCATAAAGTAATATTTGATTTTCTTTAATTGGAATATGTTACCTACTGGTCAAAAGGGAAAATGGATGCGTTTTATAAGATATGGACTCCTTTCTTTAAGTATGTAGGTCCCAGGATTTCACATACCTTTTTGCAAAACCTTGGCTTTCTGACTATTATTTAACCGATCAGAAGTTAAACTTCAAACAGCTCATCCAAACAAAATTCAGAGTCTGGACTATTGCTTCTATGAAGAGTTGTCAAAATTACATGACCTCACTGATCTTTAAGAGAGTTCTTACCACTTCCTCTGGCTGGACTCTGTTCTGCTGACTGCTCGTTGGCCCCTGTGCTGCCCGTCTGAGATCCTGTGCTGGACTCTTCAACACTGCAGCCCACCGCTGACACGTCACTCAACGCACCCTCACTGCCCTGAGAGCTGCTGCTGGCCAATAAAGCGTCTGGCCCCGCCTCCAGGTCCTGAGGAATCTCCTCCCCTGCAGGATAGTCTGTCTCCAAGACTCCTGGAAATCACAATAAAATACATAAACAACATTACTGGGATTATTTACATTTAATGCCATTGTCATTAGTTTCCTAAAAGTGAATTGCATTAATGATGTGAAGTATTTCTCCACTCCCATTTCCATTTGATACAAAGACGCCCAATCGCAACGTGTGACAACAAAGGCAAGTGTACATTTATAGAGGCTATTGGATTTGCCACATCAAACATTGACTATACTGCCTTTCAAATGTCTGAAAAATTGCACGCAACAAAACATCTGCGCTCACTTACAGAAATTCAGCTTGATCATTTCAATTTCAAGTGAAACAAAAATATTGTGTTCTAAGTTTCTCTGGTGTCTCAGTCGAAAGCGCTATCTAGTGCCATTTGTCACAGAATCATTAACAATGATCTACAATGAACATGTTCCAAATTAAATATTAAACAACAGGTTCTTAGATTATCTAGTGATTTTTCTAGAAATTTTGAAGTGGGTTTCAGTACAATGTGCGGCTGCACAATTAATTTTCTGGGGAACACAACATGTACCAGGTTTACTTTATTTCCACATTTACATAACGTACAATGTTTTTCTTGAGGCAAGGTTACAGTATTTCACCAGATATTGAAATGAGAAATGTTTATAAACCTGTGGTCAACTAAACATTATTTTACTTTTTACTTTTATTTTGCAGTTTTCTGCCAGAAAGAGGATTTAAATGCTGGGAAGTAAAGAAATAAAGAAACAAAAATATTAGCATTGTAATTTTACTATTGTAGTAAATGAAATTATTAATATAATTGATATTATTTTTTTCAGTACAATTAATTACAATAGTATTATAAAAGTTTTAATTAGTCTTTTACAGTTACAATAAAAAAACTTTTTTTTTTATTTATTGGTTTCCTAAAATGTGTGAATGTAATATGGACTGAGACACTATCACAACTAAAATGAGTTTTGAGCCATATTTCAACAAACAGTCAATGCAAAGAGACTTTTACTCCATTAAGTTTGGACACGTTTTAAAGGGGTCATATGATGCGATTTCAAGTTTTCCTTTCTCTTTGGAGTCTTAGCAGCATCAATATAAAGATGTTTTCATGAAATGTTTATCATAACGCAGCTCAAATCACAATCAGAATGTATGACAAAATCACAATAGAATTTTTTGGCCAAATCACAGTTCTAAAGATATCAATAATCTGTAATAACTGCATTTTGTATTAGTTTATCGAGATGTAATGATAAACTATTTATGCCCATGACTGAAAGAAACATGACAAAGATGAAGTGATAGATTACTGTTACGAGGGGTGTAGATTTCTGACCTGGTACGCTGGCGATGCACAGCACACATGAATTACAGACGTAGAAACTGTCGAGCAGGTCGTCGGGCCGCGTCACATCCATGATCATCACCTTTGTGGAGGAGTGTGTGCTCGTACAGATCCAAACGCGACTGGACATCTCCACATGCACTGTCTGCTCCCGCTCCTGCTCCTGTCAACACACACAATCACTGCATGAAGAACCAACACCGTCAATGCTGCCTATGAATGTTGTGTCTTTATGTGGGTCTGATCCATTTTTATACATCACAATGACTCTCATGAGAATCCAAGCCTAGTTGAAACGACCACTTTTTTAGCTTTTTATTTTGTGAAAGTCCACTTACAATGTTAGTCAAGATTTCTTACATCAAACCAGTCTTTTATGACAATTTTGCACACTCTCTCTGATTTATAGGTCTGTGCCATTGTGCCTTTCATGGCTTCTTTTAAATACTGAACAGGGTATGTAAATGTGGTTGGTCATATGCTAATGAGTTCATACATATGACTACTGTGTTCAAATATGACTACTTTCTACATCAGCTCTTTTACTTCAAACAAGTCCATGTTTTCCACAATATGACTATGGAAATCTTTTACCTTCGGTTCCTGCTCCAGCTGATCTAGGCTGCTCTGGGAGTCTTTCCTCTGTTTGGAGGCGTCGGTCTCCACCGCAGACTCTTCTCCAGAAACACCAGAGCTTCCCTCACATGAGCGTCCACCTGACAGGTTCACTCCAGCTGCACACAGGAGCTGCAGAATCAGCAGAAATATTAGAGGCTGAAAACAGCCTGAATTCATATTGGTGAGACTTCATAAACCTATTTGGTATTTTCTTAAACAGAACTACTGAAGTATGGCAACAAAACAGTTTATTTCAATTATGATTTTAATTTATTCATCTTTCTTCACCTTCATAGAAGCATCTTTCTGCTCCAGTGGCCTGAGACACACAGGAACAGGAAGGTTTATTTTGTTCTCTGCATGGCCACCATTAGCAACCTAAAAAGAACAGGATAACAGTACAATTATAGATGATTTTTATTAAAAGTAGAAAATGTGGAATTAATAAAATATAATGTTGCAATGTTACAAATAGTTCTTAAGTGCAAGATAATAGTACAATTTGAAAATATGGAATATATAAAATAAAAAGTAACAATATAAAAATAAAACAAACAACAAAGTAAAGTCAAATAAAACAAAAATAAAATCTTACACTGTTTTTCAAATAGTATAGATTACAGTACAATTATAGATATTTTACAAAAAAGATCAGTAGAAAATGTCGAATAAATTAAAGTAAAACAAACAAAAAAGTAAAAACAAAAACAAAAATAAATAAAATGTTACAGGACAATTAGAGATATTTTACAAAAATGTAAGTAGAAAATGTGTTAACAATAAAACAATAAATTAAAAGGTATATGGTTCTTGTTTTGTAAGCCAGAAAAACTGGCCTACTTTCTTGGACAATTAGTTTGAGAACAGAGCTCAAGCTGAACATAAAAAAAGATGGTCTAATCAGGTACTGAAGAAAAAACACCAAACAGTAGCACTGTGATTTGCTTAGCTGCCTGCTGTACTAATAAATATATTATAATACTGAACCTATAAAATAAAATAAAATGAAATTTTTTATATTATGTATAATCATATGCACATAACAGCATTGTGACTTGCTTGGCTGCTGTACTAATAAATATAATTCTGGATAAAAAATTAATTTAAATAAAATAAACGGTAAAATAAAATAAAATATTGTATTGTATTGTATTGTATTGTGTTGTATTGTATTGTATTGCCTTGTATTTTCCAGGGAGACTCCAGCCATGTGCTGTAACCCTGCCGTCCTCCTTCTGCACATGGGCTTTCACATGCTCGTATTGAGCGCGCTTCTGCTCCCGGCGGGACAGAGAACCATTCGAGTCCACCCTGATGGAAAAATTCAAGAAAAAAGTGAAGACGCATGATGAATTATGTAATGCTAATTAACACTTTGGTGTGCTGTGTGACGCCAGACAAGAATATCTTCATATTCTGGATTTACATGGATTTCAACTGGTGGGTCTTGATACCAAAACACTGTATGTGAATATACAAAGCTAAATGCATAATATAAAATGCAACTAGTTATATAATACTTGACACAAATACATGCATTTCATGTAAATATTCATCAGTTTCAAGTTCTGATTTTAGGAACATTTTGGTTTCACTACATCTTTGTTGCTGTATTGGTTTGCCAATAATGCACATACAAAAAATTGCATCCTGAATTTTATTTTACTTAAAAACTTAATACGTTTGACAAGGTTAAATAGAGGAGTTACTCTTCTTTGAGGAAGTCGAACGCTTTGGACTTTTCTCTTGGGAACTGGGAGAAGGTGTTGCTCTTTTTCATGATGCTGGGTGGGTTGTACTTGACGTTGGACGGTAAACCTCTCGCTGTGTTGCTGGACGCTGAGGAACTGAACAGGCGACTGAAGCTGAAACAGGACATAGAGACAGGTGTGAAGAGCCCGAGCTCACATTTGTGATCTGTGTGACTAGCAGTTGAGATGAGGTCTTACAATTGCCTGATGCTTGACCTCTTCTTCTCTGCAACTTCAGAGTTTTCCCTTGAAGCTCTGTGGAAAAACAAGACACATCACTGTAGGAGAGCCGAGAGCAAGCAGACAGTCTCTGTGTGGCGGCGTGGGGTTTTTGTTCAAGAGCCAGAAAAACTGCCCTACTTTCTTGGACAATTAGTTTGAGAACAGAGCTCAAGCTGAGCGTAAAAAAGCACTGAAGACAGCAGAAATAAACAAACAGTAACATCGTCATTAAAAATGTGATTTGCTTGGCTGCTGCACTAACAATTATATTGTAATTCTAGACCTATTAATAAAATTAAATCAAATTAAATATACAATTAAAAAATAAAATTAAATAATATAAAATTAAAAAATTTAATTAAATAATGCTCATAACTATCTGAAATTAAAAAAAGGATAGAAAAGAGCCACTGTTTTCTATTTTGGACTGTAGAGCAAATTAAAGCTCTACACAGTACCGTGTTACAGTGAAATGTTTACCGGATCATTTCCGTCCACCTGACGGCCTCCTGCAGCTCCATCAGTCTCTCCTTGTACTGGTTTCGCTCCATCAGGACTCGGGCCATCTCCACCCGCGTGAACCTCCTCCTCTGAGCTGTGGGCACATCGCTCTGCGGACACGGAGTTACATACTGTACACCATTTGGGCATAACAATTATTATTTTAACATGTATTAGTCAATGCATGTTGTTTTAAATAAAAGAATGTAATATGGTGAACTAGAAAATAAATAGTTAATCTAAGAATGTATTTTGAATATGTATTGGAGAGTAAGGGCAACATTTACTGTTGCAAACAGCTTCACACAAAGCTATCACATGGCTTCAGAAGACCTGTTTAAACGCTTAGAGCTGGTAAGATTTTTCTAAAGTTTATGAAAGAAGTCCCTACAGTAAAAACTAGGGATGCACCGATACCACTTTTATTTTTGGTACTTGCCGATACCGAGTACCGATACCAATATTTTCATTGCATTTGTAAATTTGATAGAAAGGTATGTAATGGATTACAATAAACCAAAAATCGATACCAGTATCGGTATCGGTGCATCCCTAGTAAAAACAGTAATACTCTGAAATATCATTACAATTTAAAATAGCTGTTTTCTATTGCTTTATTCCTGCATCATTACTCCAGTCCTCAGTGTCACATGACCCTTCAGAAGACCCTTTCTTCTTATCAATGTTGAAAACAGTTGTGCTGCTTAAAGGGGTCATATGATGCTATTTAAATGTTTCCTTTCTCTTTGAAGTGTTACAAGCTCTTGGTGCATAAAGAAGATCTGTAAAGTTGCAAAGACTAAAGTCTCAAATCCAAAGAGATATTCTTTATAAAAGTTAAGAGTCAACCACGCCTACCTAAAACGGCTCGTTCTAACACGCCCCCACATGTCTACGTCACGATGTGGGAAGATTTGCATAACACCGCCCAAAACAACCGCTTAAAAATAACTGCATTTACTATGTACACATAAGTGCATATGTGTTGTTTTTATTGTTATTTAATTCTAACATTATAACATGAATTGCAGTGAAACTGTTATACAGTTGAATTCATTTATACCATAGTCCAGTGTTTCCCAGGCGGTATATATATGCAAACTCATTCTCTGCCAGCAGGAGGCGCTGTTGGAGTGGTAGAGATCAAGGTTTCCCCGGTAACGGCTGTACACAAAGCAGCGCTCTGCTAAAAAAACACTGCTTTATCAGACATTACATGCAAGATTAAATGAAAATGACACCCAATTTTCCTTCAGAAATATAGTGATATAAAAACACCCACACTCAATGTATGGGAAACACTGTAGTCTCATAATTGAAGTGTAAATTCTGCAGATTACATCATTGTCCAGTATTGTACTGTCAGCAATTTATTATAAAAACGTTTTCATAATTGTAACATACATATTTACATACATAATTATTCAGATGTGTAATAACTTGCGAAAACTTGAGGCTACAGCAGCACTTCTTCGTCGTCCTCGTCTTGTCTGATGCACTCAACCATGCGTTCTAACCAAGCGGCAACCTTCCGGTCTCTCTCGTGAAACCAATACAGAAGTGACTAAAACTGCAATTCATCGACTGGCCGCTAGAGGCTCGCTCCAAAAGGGAGTCAGTCCCATAGACTTTCCATGTTAAAATGCCCAACTATACAGCAGAAAAAAAAATGTACAGCCTCTTATATTCGGGCCAATACGGTATATATGTTCTCAGAATTGCGAGTTTATCTCACATTTCTGACTTAGTAACTCAAAATTGCGTGTTATAAAGTCAGAATTTGCGGGGGGGGGGTCACAATTACGAGATATATCATAATGTCAGCAGATTCTGTGTGGCCTTGAGTCTAACACTATCACCCCATTCTGTGCTACATCATGCTACAGTAGGTGAAAATGTTCATATCATGTTGCTGCCATACGGTTGGCACTATTTGCTACTGTATGATTCAGTTAAAGGGGAAAGTATGGAGACGTGGAACAAATGAAAGATTTAGATACAAAAATTATGCTAATTGAAACACAAGCAAAGATTCTCTGACAGAAAGAAGCAAGGATGTCTTACACACCGGAGTACTCCACTGCGCTTAGAGGGAAGAACAGGACAACAGGGCATGGAGAGAGAAATCTGGGTCAGTTCAACATGCACAACAGAGCATCATGGGACTGTGCCACCATCACAGGGCTCATCTCATTATGATGGTAAATGACACATATTTAAAGGAATAGCTCACCTAAAAACTTGCTGAAAATGTGCTCACCCTCAGAACATCCAAGATGTAGATGAGTTTGTTTCTTCATCAGAACAGATTTGGAGAAATTTATAATTTCATCAGTTGCTCACCAATGGATCCTCTGCAGTGAATGGGTGCCGTCAGAATGAGAGTCCAAACAGCTGATAAAAACATCACAATAATCCACGTCATCCACACCACTCCAGTCCATCAGTTAACATCTTATGAAGTGAAAAGCTGCATGTTTGTAAGAAACAAATTCATCATTAAGGCATTTTAACTTTAAACCATTACTTGTGGCCAAAATACCACAATAACGATCAAAATCCACAGACATATATACATATTGGTTTTGAACTGTTTTTGCTTGTAAACAGTGCTTGATCGGTGCATATTTCTCTCCTGATTCAGACAGGATGATTTTTTCACTGGAGAAAGAAATATTAAGAGGACTCTATCCGCAAGCAACGGTTTGAAGTTAGAATCGTCTTAACGATGAATTTGTTACAATCGTGAAACTTTTCACTTCACTAGACATTCACTGACAGACTGGAGTGATGTGGATTACTTGTGGATTATTGTGATGTTTTTATCAGCTGCTTGGACGCTCATTCTGACGGCACCCATTCACTTCATTGGTGAGCAAGTGATGTAATGCTAAATTTCTCCAAATCTGTTCTGATGAAGAAACAAACTCATCTACATCTTGAATGTCCCGAGGACGAGTAAATTCTGAGCAAATTTTTTTAATGAACTATTCCTTTGATGTTAATAAAAATCAAGCTCAAGTAAAACTGTTTTATGTTTGTGTAAAATGTTTTTCCCTTCATAATATCTGAAAATGAACAGCAACAAACGTACCTAACAGATCTGCTCCTTCATCCACATCTCCAATCAAACCTGTGCCTGCTGACGACACTTCTTCAAAGAGAGACTCTGTATTTCGGTCAAACGCCATGTTCTCAATCCCTTCGGTCGGGGTGCTTCAACACATCAGCAACGAGCATGTTACATCATTCAATTATAGGCCAGCACTGGATTTAGCATCTGACACTTTAATATGAGAGGGTAAAACTGCAGTTACTCAGTTCAGTTTAGAGAATCCTATTAAACCTAAACAATATTTCTGGGCATCAGACACATTCAAATGTTTTAGACACACTGTTTGATCGATGGCTCATTGGCTACCTTGAACCTTTAAATCCGAGGTCCATGTCCAGCTCTGGTGTGGACTCAATAATGGCCTGAACATCTGACTTTTCCTCATTATCGGCCAGACCTGAAAAATCAAAATGGACAACTGCATATTTATCATAATTTAAAATGGGATCTGCAATACATTGTTTGAACTTTCTATTTATCAAAGAATCCTGAAAAAAAGTATCACAGTTACCACAGCAGCACAACTATTTTCAACACTGATAATAATAGTTTCTTTAGCAGCAAATCAGCATATTAGAATGATTTCTGAAGGATCATGTGACACTGAAGACTGGAGTAATGATGCTGTAAATTCAGCTTTACATCACAGGAATACATTACATTTTAACATATATTAAAATAGAAAACAGTTCCTTTAAATTATAAAAAATATTTCACAATATTGCAGTTTTTAATGTATTTTTAATCAAATAAATATAGCCTCACTGAGCATAAGAACAATCTTACTGACCCTAAACTTCTGAATGGTAGTGTACAACACTAAATGAAGTGCCATTTGAGTAACACTGTGCAATTTTAGAGTCATTTAAAGCTGTAACACTTTCCATGCACAGTAAAAAGAGCGTCTAACCCGCAGAGACGCCCCTGGTCCCTGGAGCAGCCTGAACCTCTGTGTTCTTCCAGAATCCCTCTCCATCCTCTCTGTGCGAGTCTAGGGCCAGATCTGAGGCCGTGGTGGACATGGGAGTGACAGACTTTGAGCCTCCCTGGCTGAGGTCAGACAGCTCATCCTGAAATCATTCAACACACAATGCTCATTACCTGAAGGTCAGAGGTCACAGCTCAGGGACAGAGGAGAGAAAGCAACATGAAAACACAAGAGGGGTCGGGATATTGACTTAAACTCTGAATATTTGACAAACTGAGGTGAGACCAACAGGCACACAAACACACACAGGACAGACACTGTAGACACAATATAGAATGGATGCCATTGCTTGTAGACATCAATAAAAATTAAAAAAATAAAAACTAGTGTCAAATAATAACTAGACAAAGCAGTGTCAGTTCAGGCTAAAGGTATTAAAATAGAAGACTGCAAACACTTGACAGCTCATTGATGCAACTGTAAGAAAACTTAAATGATACGCAAATAACAGCGATTAGAACAACGCCAAAAAATGGAGATTGACCGATACAGATCATTTTTGTTTTTTCAAGTGTCTGATAACTAAAATGCAGAAAATATTGTAAATATTACTAATAATATCTTAAAGTTTCTATTTCTGCTCTTTGATAATAAAAAAAAGTGTATTTACTTTTTTTTTTAAGAATACAATTATGCATGTTATGCTATTACATTAAAGCTAAGTTGTTTTGTAACTTTGCTGTCTGATTATTAGGATACACATTTAAAAATGTATACGTTTATAATTTTATCCAAACAATATATTATATAAAGTGATCTGTACGAGTACCACACTGATACTTAAGAACTGATAACAGAAGAGGAGAACAGAAATCGATCCGAACCAATTATCGGTCAATCTCTACAAAACACTACTACAAAAACTGCAACGCACAGAGATTTACACAACACATCCCAAACAACACAGCAAATATCATTTACTCTGATGAAATAGGTTAAAAACACTGCTGTAAATGCAACACAATTGAACTGAATGCAGTAATTTATAGAAAAGAAGAAAAACTATGTTAAAGCCAAGTGTTGGGGTATGTTACCATAGAAAACCTACGTCTACAGTACATTAATAACCTACTAAAACTGAACACCTTTGCCATGTTTTACGTACCCACACACTTTATCCAAAATAATGTAAAACTAACATTATTTTCCCACTACACAAAAGGTAACAGTTGCTTTTATTAGGAGTGAAGAAATAATGTAACATTTCTTTTAAAGGGGTCATGAACTAAGAAACCAAAATTCCCTTGATCTTTTGACACATAAGAGGTCATTGTACTGTAAGTTTCAGAACTCAAAACTTTCTCGTTAGTCTAAAAGCAGCTTATATTGAAGCCAGTCTGCCAAAATGACAGCTTGAGTAATGTTCTGCTTTATGATGTAATAGTGTGGATAAGCACCGCCTCCACAGAAGATGATCAACGCCTGCTTCTACATCACTGCCTGTTTAGCCCCGCCCACCGATTCACGCATGTAGTGTGAATAACAAGAGAGGCGAACGCAGGTCTACGCAGAAAACAAACTGTATTTGATGAACTTTGTTTTTAAAGATTAATTTATTTTTTTATTTTTTTTTGATGAACTTTATTTTTAAGGAAGTTCCAGACCGTGTCAGTAAGAACTTGGTCCTTTGTTTATTTTATCGCGGATTAGTTTACAAACAAGGCACAATTCGACGCAGGTTTTTCAGAGAGTGAAACTAAAAGACGATGCTGTGCCGACTATATTGGATCCGACAGTAATGTCGCACCACACAAGTGTGAGTAACTGTTTTCATTACATGGTCACTATAGCTTTGTCTGTTATCGTTTGATATGTACTGAGTATTTACACATTTTTAACCTAAATCACAGCAGCGTCCATCTGTGTAGGATGTAGGCTGTCAAACATACACAAGTGTTAGCCAATCATAGCAGTGGGCGTTTACTTCTGAGTCTACAATCCGCCATTCAAACGGAGCGTTCTGATGAGAGGGGCAGAAAACAGCCTATTACTTCTAAATCTTGATGTTTTTGATGTAAAAATATTGATAACATTATAAGTAGACCTCAGAGAACAGTACAAAATAATTTAAAAAGGCAGTTCATGACCCCTTTAAAAGTAACATTCCCCAACACAGGTTAAAACCAATTCATAACGACAATAAGTGTTACAACTAAAGACAGCATTGATAGCACAATGTTAGAAATGTGCAAATGAAGAATGCAATCTAAGACAGCGAGAAACTGAAATGACATGCGGTGAAAGCTAAATTAACACCATGCATTAGCTGTATGCAACTATATCCTAGATAACTAAAAATATTTGTGCATTACTCCATGTTAACATGCTCTTTTTTTTTTTTTTGCATTTATTACTAATCTGGACTTTCTACATCTGTGTAGTTGCATGCAGTTAAGACACCGAACCATGTTCTGTGAATAAACTTTCTGACTATTAGAGGACAACAGTGAATTGCACTACACACTGTCCGCCGGCACACAGCCTTGCTACCTTGCAGTCGTTTGCCAGCGAGTCCCAAGCTTCCAGAACATCCTTACCATCCCTTTTCTTTGGAGTGTCCTCCGCCTCCAACTGCTTGCACAAGAAAATTGGGACGTGGCATCTTATATTTGTTTGAAACACAAAACACAATAGCGCTCTCATGTGTTTGTGCTGTGATCTAGCATTGGTGGGTGGGAAAACACAACTGTAATGTAACATTATTATGCATGAGAACATTTAAAGCAGCGATCCATACAAGAGAGCTTCAGATTCTTAATGTTGCCATGTTTCATGCAGGTGAACGTGGATGCCGAAGCACCAAATCAGTTCACGTAAAGAAAAATGGCTGTAACATTAATGGAATGAATGTTCTGCATAATGGACTCTTTTCACATGATGCATTTCCACAGTTATTAACATTGTGAAGTTTTTTTTTAGATTTTTACTTATACATTTTTTTTTTTTAAGTTTGTTTATAACACTATACTTTGTTACATTGGCATTACATTTCAGAAAGCCAGTTAATGCTGCTGCGTTTCTAATACAATTGCTGAGGGATTTCTCATTTATTTTCTCTTCCTACCAACGTAAACAATATGTCTATTTTTTTCCCTCTTTTGGGAAGTCATAGAAACAAAATTATGGATTTTTTTATTTTACTATTGGAGCATATGGGAACACAAAAATTATATTTGTTGTAGGCAGTGTTGGGGGTAACGCATTACAAGTAACGCGAGTTACGTAATCAGATTACTTTTTTCAAGTATTCTTCACCACTACAGAAGAACTTCCAGTTCTGAGTAGGGGTGTGCAATATTTATCGTCTGCGATAATATCGTAATTGTTGTGTTAACGACGATATGCTAGCTGACATTATCGAGTACATCACTCACTTTGCAAAAAATAAACAAAACATGTCTTGAAAATCTAAAAGCCTATATGCATGATGAAGCATATTACATTCAGTTAAAATGCTCCTATAATTCAAGTTATGAAAGCAAAAAGTATCCCTGTATGTGTTTGTTTTTGTATTTATATACGGTAGTTAAGTAATATCTCACAAGCAACAGTGCCATTTTCCTAAATATTAGCGCGTTTTTTTCTGTTTCACCAACGAAAATAGTTTCAAACATTTTTGCATCTCAGAGCAACACTGCAGTGTTTTTATTCCTGAACGAATCTGTGTTTGAACAGATTATTTGAGTCCATGATTCAATAACCCATTGGTAATAACCCAGTCACTTGCTTCATTTCTAAAAATTATTCAGCCGTTTTGAACAAATCATTTGAATGAATGATTCAATGAATCACTCATTAAGACAGGGACTTACTGCCACCTACTGGCGGTTTTAGTGTCATATTTATCCATGAAAGGCCTAAACCAGCCAAGGTGCCAGCACAAATCACCCTCAGCAATATATTGTTTAGTTATTGTTATTGAAGGAATCCCAATAAAAATAAAAAGCGATATCATTTTTTGTCAGTACCCCTAGCTCTGAGAACCCTGGAAATGTGAAAAGGGTCCATTTGACGTTCTTAAATTGAGCATCAGTAAGTATTGAGTCCATTTCAAACCATTCATATTATGAACTGCAAAATATTTTCAGAATTACTGCATATTACACTCGATATCGTTATATATCATTATATATGTCAATATAGTAACTTTGACCCTCTAGTCGTTTAACTGTATCGCAAGCCCTAAAATCTAATTTAAACTTAAATTTGATAAAATGGGTCACTGCCGACGTTCCAGGATGCTTGAACAAGCGTCATCACTGCCTAATGTTTCCGTGGCAACATCTTTCAACCAACCACTGCTCATATTTTCTTCCCTATCCACCAGCAAACATGTACCTTTACAAAAACAGAGGATAAGCCCACAAAACAAAGACATCAAATGTCTGTCTAACATCTTCTCTTCCCAGAGTTCTTTCATATCATCGGTCTATTATATCGGTTATTTTCTTCTCATGGCCTGGTGTAAATTCCCTCGAAATTTGTCTTAGCACTGTATAAACTCTTATATGATGATGTTGTGATGTTACTGTACCTTGAGGCTGGCATTAGAGCGCTGATGACTGAGGTTATTGAATCTCCAGCCCTCCATCCCAGGAGTCTCGGCTCTGCCCTGGATGTCAGGCGTCAGTGAAGAGCCACCGCCGGACATGGGGAAGATTCCCAAAGACAGGGGCCGCTCTTTCCTGTTTAATGAGAGAAAGATCAAAAATCATCATGCATCATGTATTAATATAAATGTGGAATGCAATCAATCTTTGTTCTGATGTCATTTAATTTTATATAAACAATCATGCATAAATACCTTTAGAAACTTGCATACTTTTTGAAACAACTACATGATGGTGTCTGTTTCTTTTTAGCACAGATAATAGGATCATGTTCATCTTACCGAACTCGGCCAATTGTTCCTGTGTCAGAGGTCTCTCCCCCCGTCTGCTGCATCCGGATCCGTTCCACATGCTCCATGTAGTTGTGGATCATCTGAAGAACAAATGAACAAAAAGTAGGCATATTAATTGGCCTTAAAGAGCAGCAGGTAGTCTCTTATGCTCACCAAGGCTGCATTTAATTAATAAAGTAAAAACATTAATATTGTGAAATGTTATTAAAATAACTATTCTATTTTAATTCATTCCTGTGATCCCAAGCTGAATTTTCAGCATCATTAGTCCAGTCTACAGTGTCACATGATCCTTCAGAAATCATTCTAATATGCTGATTTGACGCTCAAAAACATTTATCATCATTTGCTCTCTCTTACCTCTGTGTGCCGCAGGTGAAGGGAATTATATTCACGCTTCAGTTCAGCCTCTCGCTCTTCTAATCGACTTACTGAGAAAGGAGGAGTAAAAAAAATATTAAAGAAATTCGGAATGATAAACTTGTTCAACAGTACAAGTGTAATCTGCAAAGATTTTAGTATTGTAGTTCAGTCCAAAAATATGTATTTTTTTAATGTCTATATCAACTGCTTTTAAAAACTTTGAAAGACAATATTTTGGCATCTTTTGCATGCAAAATGTTAGTCTGCGATGTCTTGTAAACACAAGGTACAAGCTTGGAACAAGGGCCTTGAAATAAATGAGGACAGAGAAACGAGGCTAATTATCACAGCCGTCGTCGTAACAGGTTAGAAAACTCCCAAATGACCAATGACGACCCGCAGTTGTTCACTGTACAGCACTCAAAAACCATGCGAGCCAGCCTGCCACTTAGAATTGGCCTGAAACCAGATTTAAAGCTAGTTTGAGTGGGCAAAGCTGATGCTTTCAGTGAGGCCTTTAAAAATACTTGCAGTTCTGTAGAGAGAATATCCACAGAGGATATTAAACAGGCTTGATTTAAGAGGCGGCACAAAGACATAATCCACTTTTAGCTGTCAGGTTTAAATCTAAGCCTGCAGCAGATCTGCCAAACGCATCCCACAATCAGACCGGCTAATTCACTTTCTACATACTTCATTTCAGCACAGTGATTTCTAGTAGAACTGATATCCATTTCAAATCTCAGAAAAGGGTTTGCTGGAAATCAACGATCCATTAATAGGGTCAGTAGGATGGTTTGAGAAAAGAGAGAGCAGATTAAATTACGGGATGGTACTCTATTATGAACCACGTGTGAAGAACACTAAACCAATACTTCACATAACAGCAAAAGTATACAGAACTATGGACTATAGCTATTTTATACTAAAACAGAAGGTCTTTAAGAGCAGATGCATGGACATTAGTGGTCGACCGATATATCGGCCGATATTTGGCCTTTTTCAAATATCGGCATCGGCCAATAAGTTTTTCTGTTTGGCCGATGCGTTCGAGGCAATTTTTGACAGCGTTTTGACGGCGCACCTGACTTTTATTTTGACTTTATTTGAAAAAATATGATTCCCAATGCACACAAACTTCCCAGAATACTGAGTGCTCTGTTGGTTACAGTTTACTTCCTTTTTAATTATATTTTTATTAAATATTTATTTATTTGTGGAAAATACATCTAAAGTATAAGTATGTTTATTTTACAAATTAATTTTTTAATCCATTTTCAAATGATTCAATTTCAAATTTCTTAAATATTAATGAAAATAAATACAATTATATCGGCTTTATATCGGCCATTGGCCACCCTGCTTTCCAAGATATTGGCATCGGCTGTCAAAAAAACCAATAACAGTCGACCACTAATGGACATATAAAATGTAGAAGACATATATGAAGGTTTAAAAAAAACTGTCAGATCATGGAAGTGTCAGACTGAACGAGAAGAAGGAATAAAGCAGGTGATTCTTACTCTGGTCAGCATAGTTCTTGATCTTCAGCTCCAGCTGACGGGAATGTGATGAAAGACTTTCCAGATGGTTCTGCAAATCCTTCTTCTCTTGCTCTTGGGAATCTTCAAATTCAATGAACTTCTGCTCGCAAAAACACAAAGAACAAATTAAATATTGCATAATGCATTTATTTTTTAAATGACAAACAGGCCTTACATGATTTAGTTTTGTTACATCATGATATCAACGGTAGCTTTAGTAAGCTAGAATATCGATTATACACTCAACAGACTAAAAGCTACAAAACTTCCAAGCGGAAAAGGCACTTTATGATTTCCGCAAGATAGTAGAATGCATCAAAAATCATCAAAATTATCAGGAATAGTATAAATGTGAAGTCTGACACATTATCTTCAGTTGTATGGCAAGCGGAAAAGGCACTTTATGATTTCCGCAAGATAGTAGAATGCATCAAAAATCATCAAAGATCAGGAATAGTATAAATGTGAAGTCTGACACATTATCTTCAGTTTTATGGATATTTCCAGCTCTTCATGCCTTTTTATGGGCTGAGGAACAATATTAAAATGTCAAATCTATTAAGACTGACACAAACAAGGCAGAAAGGTTTTCTAAGGATTTATTTTATTAAACTACATCCAACATGTGCAAAAAAAAATCTATAATGTGAAATGTGGATATACGGTTGACCAAAGTGGCTGATGCTTTTTTCAATAGCTGATGCTGATATATAGAAAGTACAGTAGTTGATAAAATGACTAAATGATAGCAAATTTACAACATTGCTTAACGTATGAAAATGTGCTTAAATTAACTGTGTAAAAATGTTCACAATATTCACTAACCAAATTCAAAACTTGGGGGTCAGCAAGATTGTTTTTGAAAGAAGTTGCTTATCTATGCTGCATTTATTTGATCAAAAACACAGTAATTTTCAGCATCATTAGTCCAGTCTTCAGTGTCATATGATCCTTCAGAAATCATTCTAATATGCTGATTTGCTGCTCAATAAACATGTTAAAAACATTTGTGCTACTTCCAGTTGATGAATAGAAAATTCAAACAAACAGCATTTATTTGAAATAGAAATCTTTTGTAATTTTACAAATGTATTTACTGTCACTTTTGATCAATTTAATGCATATTTGCGGCATAAAAACATGAATTTCTTTCAAAAACTCTTACTGACCACAAACTTTTGGGTGGCAGTGTATGAAAACAGCAAAAGGTGCATCATGCATTGACAAAACTAAGTCTCGCAAGCAAAATACAGTGTGAATCCAGCAAGAGTTTTTATAGCCAGGTCACAGCAAAGGACCCCATGACCTGGAAGTAATATCTTGAGGCATTTTTTCCCTAATTGGAATCTCTCTCCTACAAATCCCTACAGAGCACATGCTTCATGTCTGGAGTACAGGGGTCTCCTGGAGAGCCTGGTGCAGTGTGAGTATCTGATAAAGGGGAGCGGTTTCAGTGTCACTGCAGGTTCCCGTCACACTGGCATGAAAAAACTAATTCAGCGGCCCCCCGAGCACAGAGATCAACAAACATAAGGTTCAAGTCACATTCAATTCCCATTCATTTTCAGTGCAACACAAAGCTCTCACAAACACAGTTTTAGTTATAAAGTTAAAGAAGTTTAAGACAAGACATACACTACAATGACATGATAATATACGGTTTCTGTTTTCTGAGTAAATATTCTATAAAACATGGGGTCATGTCATCTTAAGTCAATATATCTGCATTATATCAGACACTATTCTCTCTAGATATCAAAAATATCATCATCGTTCATGGAAAAACTCAAATTAAATCAATTCATTAAATTAAATTGAAATATCAAAGGATGACACTATATATGTTTAAACTGATTTTGCAGCTATGATAAGGACTGTGTTGTCATCATTAACTAAAGCTATTAAAAATTAAAACATTTTTGGTAACTAAAAAATAAAATAAAATATCAATTTTAGATGAAAAATGTAAACTTCAAATTAAAAGAAAATTAGAAGTGATAAAATAAACGTAAGTTGAATTACTAAAATAGCTCAAACTAAAACTGAAATAAAAATAAATAAAAGCTGAATATAAATATTTAAAAAACGAATAAAAATTACAAAAGCACATAACATAAAGCACAAAAAAATACTAAAACTTAAAGCTAAATTAAAATGAAAACTAAAAATATAAAGCTAATTTAACATCAATAAATACAACACACTGGTTTGAGACAACATATTGGTTACAGTATAAAAATGTAACATTATGCCTGAAACCTCAAGATCCCAAATAGTCATAAAAGTTTCTCTAGTACATCAGTGATCTGAAACGTGAGAGAAAGATCAAGGTTCACCACAACTGAATATTGATCACAGCCTTGTCACTCTGCTGTTGGAAGTGAAATCTGTCTGTCATAATAGGATGTATCCAGATCCCGTATCAGTACACACACAGGGATTAATGCAGCTCATGGCTCAAAATCCCAGTTAACCGTCACTGTGGCAGGAACACATAAAGCAATTGAGCAGCCTTAATCTGTCCAAAATCGGGTTTACACACGTTGAGAACTGTACAATGCAGTGTAATCTTATTTCCAAAACAGATTAGAGTCGCATTTACTCACACACTTCAACTATGAAAGGTTCGTAACTTAAAACTAATGACACACGCGATACAATTTCAAAGGTTTAATGTGGAAAAAGTCTCTGAAAAAAGCACTGCACAGTGTGTTTCTGTGCATGACGACAGACTGTTGCATCAGTCAAAAACTTGGACTAAATTACACACTTCTGACTCTAGTAAATATTTATCAAGGTATAGGTTTATTTTTGAAATTTAATTTCACATACATTAAAGTCTTGCCTACAAAAAAGCTATTGAATATTTTCATCGTTATTGCTCAGGGGAAAAAAAATACATCTCACTGAACATGGTGACATACTGTCACATTAGATGGGGTAAGTTGTCACAGCAAACAGAGTCATTAAAAACCCTATTTTTGGCTTCTTAGCCTAAAAGTCATGAAACAGCGCAATTCATGGTCAACAAATATCATGATTATTAAAATAGTCATTTTTAGAAATTAATAACCTTGTGACAGCCTACCTAACTTGGAAACACAGACACAAAAATGACAAATATGATATTGGGATTTTTAAAAAGGTGTTTGAAATCCACATACAAAACCACTGCTAAAAACTATCGAACTTTTGAATCAAAACCTACAGCTACCCATGAAACAAAAAATATATTCTAAGAACACTCTGCTAATGTTCCCTTGAAGTTATGAAAACGTTATTTCTGGATGTTCTCTGAATGTTTGAAATGTCCAGTTTTTTTTTACTTTATGGGTACATTACCTCACACAGGTAACATTTTAAAACGTTAGAAGAGCATCAAACTAAAATGTTTCCTAAAAAATGTTCTATGAAAAACGTATAAAATAACATTTTTGTGCTAACGTTATTAAATACCAGATAACTTTGAATGAACATTCTATTAGCGTTCTCAGAACGTTCTGAAACCGGTAACATTTTAAAAACAGATGAACATCCAACTAAAATGTTTCAGAAAAAAAGTTCTATGAACAACGTATAAATAACACTTTTTTTTGCCAATGTTTTCATTACATTATTAGACCAGACAACTTCGAATGAACATTCTCCTAGCGTTACTGGAAGGACGTTTGTTCATAACCTTGCCAGAACGTTATAGCCAAAGTTCTGCCACAGTGACAACTTGCCCCGGTCTCTCCTCCCATATGACACAGAGGCAAGCATCCGTCTCTGTAGCTTGCATTGCAAAACAAAAAACTCGCTGGACATGTTGTTGGACGTTGTTTTCGATCTCTGGTCTTTACTTACAAGCATGCAAACAACATGACTGCGCCAGTTCTATTAAACGAAATGTTTGTACATTAAAGGGGTCATATGATGCAATTTCAAGTTTTCCTTTCTCTTTGGAGTGTTACAAGCTGATTGTGCATAGATAAGATCCCTGAAGTTGCAAACACTAAAGTCTCAAAACCAAAGAGATATTCTTTATCAAAGTTAAGACTCTGCCACGCCCCCCTAAAACGGCTCGTTCTAACACGCCCCCACATATCTACCACACTATTCACAGTGCACTGGGTCAGCTGGCCAATCAGAGCGGACTGCGCTTGTCAAAGGAGGGGGCTTTGTAGAAAACGAAGCGTTTGAGAGAGGCGGGGCATATAGGACCTACAATAATGTACAGTATTTGAAAAATAATGTGTTTTTTGAACATTAAAGCATGTCAACATATTCTGTTACACCAAATACACAAAATAATGATCTTTAAAAAAGCATCATATGACCCCTTTAAGTTCTAACCATCAGCGCGGACCAGACAGACAATCAGAGGGCATAATGATGACCTGAAGCACGTCGAAATGCACATTTTATATCTTTATTCACTTAAGGACCAAGGCTGATTCACCCTCAAAGGGCAGCACTGGCTAAACAAGGCATGACAAAGCGTGGCAGCTGCTGCTGCAAGAAAACAAAGATGCCAGGCTCCCGATGATGATGATGATGTTAGGCGCTAAACCTCCTCGTGCACTCACCTCCTCGGCGTGTTTCCTGAGCGCTTTCTCGCGCTCGTACTGAGTGATCAGCTGCTCGTTATCCTCCTTGAGGAGCTCCAGCTCCACCTCGTGCTCCTGGTTCTCGGCGAACACCGAGTCGAGGTTCTCCAGCACCGCCACGACCAGCGGCATCAGCTCCTTCACCACGTCCTCGTCGTATTTGCGGATGAGCCTCTCGAACTCGCGGTAGATGGAGTTGGCCAGGCCCGAGACCCTCTCCGACATGATCGCCGATGTGCCCGGATCGTCCTGGTACACAGCTCCGTCATCTAGCTCCATTTTCCTTCCTCTCCAGAGAGACTGTCCTAGATCTAAACCTCCGCTGTTCCAGACCAACGTGTCTCGGTTTATATCTGAAGAACGAAAGCTGATGTATTCCCGTTATGTTCTCCGAAACACGGCCACAATGGCCCCACGGAAGTCCAGAGTCCCTTCCTGGAACCGGCCGATGTATTACGTGGAGTATTTTTTTCCCGCGGTCTCACACAACAGCTGAGCTGTTGACTAGACAATCGCGCGGTGACGTCACGCTCGGTACCGTAACACGCTGCGTACCGTGATAATTATTCTTGAGACATGATAGGGCAAAACCTGTCCCACAACATGACTTGACATTATCTTGTTTTTTTTGTTTGTTTTTTTATTTATGTTTTATATATATATTTTTTAAATAGCACAATTCCCACTCTGGAATGAATCATTTAATTATTGATAATAATTAATTTGATAACTAGAGTGTTCTTGACAAAATTGCAAGAAGCGAATTATGGGGGTTAATATTCAGTTCACAAAGGAAATAAAATGTAATTTAAAAATAGTAATAAATAGTCGCGATCAAAAATTGCGTCAAAATTGCGGTTGCCTCAAGTGGTAATTAGCTGTAATAAGTCAAATTTGTTTAATATAGCATCTAGACTTGCATTACGTTGCAGACTTATATTACATTGCGTTGTGAAAAGCCTAGTGTCAAGGTCAGGGACACTTCTGAATGGTTGGTGTAAGTTTCATAAAGCACGTTAGAATAGTAGACATCACTTTATATGGTTTGTGGCATTTTCTCATGACAGTTTATATTTATATGTAATTCCTGATAGGCATGTGTCAGTTAGTGGTGGCACTTTTGATTAAAACGTTTCTTTTTTTTTTAGTCATGGCCTCTGCATAGTCTCTATATTATTTTATAATTACAAATGATACAGCTGAACTGTCAAATCTATGCAAAAAAAAAAAAAAGCGTATTTACGTATTTGAATGCATTGTACAAAGCAGGCTACTGGAAATAAACTTACCATGAAAAATACACATTAAGAGGCATTAGACACATTTTAATCTAAACATAGGAACTCAATATTTGTTGTGCAAATGAACTCCGCGATGTAATAAATCGTATGCTTGACCGCAACATACTGTTAATTAAATATCGTTCTGCCGTTAAGTGCGTGTGTTACGCAATCTACATTATGACTCAATTTTATTGAATATAGATGGTAACAATAATTTTTTTAAAACTTATGTGATATGCTGCTCCATGTACACAGCATTTTCAACATTTATTCATAATTATGCATGCAGTTTTTATTACCATAATTATTGAAAGTTTACATGGAACAAGTGGAATAAATTAAGTAACATTGTCAATAGAAATTACACACAAAAAAAACACCAAAGGAATAACACACAAATCGTGTTCCTTAAAATATTTATTGGAGACATGTAAAAACGAAAAAAAATAACTGTAAACCCTACAGGAATGACCCGAGAGGGGAAAACATTGGGGATGTTGAACTTAAAGAAAACAAGTCGTAGTCCATTAAAAAAATAAAAAATAAATCTACACTACAAAACTCACTCCAAAATGTGCTTTGACAGAATCCACACCACTAGATTTAATGATCTTACCATATATTACTGCATTTCAACAAGCTGATGTTTGCAGGTAATGACTGAATATTTAAACAACCTTGCTGTAATATCATTGATAAATGTTGCATCCTAAAAAAATGATACGAGTCACACAAAGAGAATTGTGCTGAATGAAATATGAAACACTCTCTTATTTACAGTTGACTCGTTGCTATGGGGGCATCAACAAGAATAGTTATGTACATAAACTGAAATACAAATAAGGCATTTATGTGGAAAAAAATGAAAAGGACTTTCTTTTTGAAAACAGTTTTCATTGGTGGCAAAACTGTTCATTGAAACAAAGGATGATTTTACCACATGTACAGTGTGGGGAAATAATTAAAAAAAAAAGGGACATAATAATTTTGAATAATTTTGACCACACATTTCATTTTTCCCCCCTCTTAAATCAGGAAAGAACCGCAAACTTATTCGACACTGGGAACTATTACCAATCATGGACAAATTTACAATGACGCATTTAACATTAACGTACAATGCACTGTTCAATATTTCAATACACCTTGCATATAGAAAAGTTTTTTTTCTTCTTTTTCTTTTCAATAGCAATAAAAAAAAAGTACTGCAAGATGCTAAAGACAGAAGAAAAGTTTGCAAAAACGTCCTCGTTTCTGTAAGGGGATGGTTGGCGTCCAGACAGAGAGAAATAAATCAGTGATTGAACTGGCGTTATGCGTTCTTTGTCTTGGGCATCTTGCGGTGGCATCATTGTCTTGTGCCCCTCTATAAGTCTGATGGAGACACAACTCTCTGCTCTTTGGCACTTAGGCTGGTAGACTCAGCTTTTTTCCTTTCAGCACTGTGGACCAGACAAAAGAAAGTCAGAAAATGAAGCAGGAAGAGGACTTTCTTTATCCTAAAACATGCCAAATCCTAAAAATGGAGGCCAAACAAGTGCTTAAACTTCAATGAATACATGCATTAATGTTGAAGGATTCACACAGGTACCTTTCCTAAAGTAATAGTTCACCTTAAAATGAAAATAAGCTGAAAATGTACTCCCCTTTAGGCCATCAAAGATTTCTGCTACAGATTTGGAGAAATGTAGCATTTCATCACTTGTTCACCAATGGATCCTCTGCAGTGAATGGGTGCTGTCAGAATGAGAGTCCAAACAGCTGAAACATCACAATAATCCACATGACTCCAGTCCAATAATAATGTCTTATAAAGTGAAAAGCTGCGTGTTTGTAAGAAACGAATCCATTATTAATGTGTTTTTTTAACTTTAATCTGTGGAGTCTGGTCAAAATATGGAAACTGCAATCCATAATAACTCTTCCTACAGCGTAAATGTCCATACCCTATTGTCCTCTCAAAATCTATGAGCACATGTTTTGAACTGTTTTGGACCAGTTTTGCATGTATTGCATTGCTGCTTAATCTGTGCATACTTCTCTCCTGATTCAGACAACAACTTTTTTACCGGAGAAAGCAATATTACGGATTCATATTTTAGCCACATCTTAATGATGGATTGGTTTCTTACAAATATGCAGCTTTTCACTTCACAAGACGTTAACTGATGAACTGGAGTCGTGTGGATTACATTATTGCGATGTTTTTATCAGCTGTTTGGACTCTCATTCTGACGGCACCCATTCACTGCATAGGACCCATAGGTGAGCAAGTGATGCAATGATACATTTCTCCAAATCTGTTGTGATGAAGAAACATTAATCTCACAACAAGGTAAACTGTACCTTAGATGTTTTAACTTCTGAATTAAAGACAAGTCGTAAAATTCCATTTTCAATTCAATCAGCAATGTGTTTTAAGAAAGTAAATGGGTCAATTTTAATCTCATGCTGACTTTAAGTTGATCATGACTCATCAAGTAGATGTCACTCACACCCACGGTCCTTAAAAAGGTTTAAACTCACCTTTTGTGATGTAAAGGTAGAAGAAGTCACAATAGAGAATAGTCTGGACGACCCCGGCCACGATGGCAATCATGTCAAAGAAGCCCTCAAAGTAGAACCTCCAGATCCAGTTGAAGAGGTAGAGGGTGCGGTAGACCCCCAGGCAGAACAGATAGTGGGTAGTGATGGTCTCGGCCTCGCCGGTCTTGCTAATCATAAACAGCTGAGGCAGGATGGCCACAGACTCAAGGTAGATGGAAAAGGTCCACAGAATCTGATAAGAAAACAAAAATTTATACAGGTTTGAAACAACTTGAGGGCAAGCAAATAATGAGAGAATTTTCATTTTTAAACCAACTGTCTTTAACAAGTTGTAATTTGCTTTTATTTATTTCAGTGTTTATTATTTGCAAGTAATTGCTTTTATTCATTTTTTAAATACATTTTATTTGTGTGTGTGTGTGCGTGCGTGCGTATGTATATTTCTCTTTCAGTGTATACTGCTTGGAATTATTATGGTTGTGTTTAACAACGATAATGCCTGTTGTTATTTGCAGATGTTTAATAAAGGTTCAAATCAAAACTGGCGAAAATAAAATTTATGATGGTCAAATGCTCAAGTGCAGTGAAGACTCTAATACTCACCTCCAAAGGAGAGAAGTCGTGGTTGACTAGAAAGGCAAGACCTCCCACTGGAACCACAAGAAACTCAACTCTGAAAGTGTCGTGGTTTCCATCATAAGTTGCCCTGAACTTTACGTAGATCAGGTAGACTGTGGCATAGGCACATCCGACATAGATAACCTGTTTTCACAGCACAGAAACAAAAGAAACTGTTTAACTACAAAAGTTCAGAGCACATATAAACCTGTTTACGCCAATGTGGCAAAACATAGATTTTGCAATCACTGATATTTAAGATTGACAAATCCATTGATGTGTGCATGTAAGTGTTCGTTCTATGCCTTTACCTTCATGCAAGTGTTGTATAGAGAAATGAAGGATGTCAGGAGATCCAGGTACCGAGTGGTGAACACCAAGGCAAAGAGTATCTGGCTCTTCCCAGAGATACCTGAGGGCAAAAATATTTACACTCGGACACCTGCAACTTACAAGTAAATAAGAGAACAGCAGCAGAATACCGAACTCATAAACAGTCCAAAAGAGTTGCATCTAGGTTCTCTATATCTCTGTAAATCAAAAGTCTGATTGTATCTAGTATATTAGTATCTAATCAAATGTATCTAGTCTACCCAGATGACCCATCCTTGCAAAGCCCACACTTAACTACATGCACTGCCCGTCAAAGCAAGGAATGCAATGCACTTTAGGAACGTATGGCAAATAAAAGGAGGGAGAATTTAAAACGTATGACATCGAGCATACGAAAAAATGCCCTTTTGACTCTCACAACGCAGCGTATGAAGATGCAAATTGTCCTCTACATAGTAAAAGTAATTGCACAGTATGAATGACGAGATGGTTGATAGAGCGCGCATATATATATAAAACAAACGATTATTAAACTGCAGTTAGTAACTAGGCCACAAGTTTCAGCTATTTCAGTCACTCAGAAGAAGCGTGTGATGTTTGATTTCCTTCAAATCAGTATGCAAAACACTAACGATCACAACATGTTAAATACATACTGATCCGTCCATTTCAACATAATTTTCATTGTCAAATTCAACAAAAATCGAGCCTTCAAACAGCTTTCAAGTCAAGCTAACCCACTAG